CACTGCTCAAAAAAATAAAGGGAACACAAAAATAAGACATCCTAGATCTGAATGAATGAAATATTCTTATGAAATACTTTGTTCATTACATAGTTGAATGTGCTGACAACAAAATCACACAAAAATTATCAATAGAAATCAAATTTAGCAACCCATGGAGGTCTCGATTTGGAGTTACACTCAAAATTGAAGTGGAAAAAAACACTACAGGCTGATCCAACTTTGATGTAATGTCCTTAAACAAGTCAAAATGAGGCTCAGTAGTGTGCGTGGCCTCCACATGCCTGTATGACCTCCCTACAATGCCTGGGCATGCTTCTGATGAGGTGGCGGATGGTCTCCTGAGGGATCTCCTCCCACTCTGCACTAAAGCATCCCCCAACTCCTGGACAGTCTGTGGTGCAACGTGACGTTGGTGGATGGAGCGAGACATGATGTCCCAGATGTGCTCAATTGGATTCAGATTTGGAGAATGGGCGGGCAAGTCCATAGCATCAATGCCTTCGCCTTGCAGGAACTGCTGACACACTCCATCCACATGAGATCTAGCATTGTCTTGCATTAGGAGGAACCCAGGGCCAATCGCACCAGCATATGGTTTCACAAGGGGTCTGAGGATCTCATCTCGGTACCTAATGGCAGTCAGGTTACCTCTGGCAAGCACAGGGAGGGCTGTGCGGCCCCCTAGAGAAATGCAACCCCACACCATTACTGACCCACTGCCAAACCGGTCATGCTGGAGGATGTTGCAGGCAGAACGTTCTCCATGTCTCCAAACCCTGTCATGTCTGTCATGTGCTCAGTATGAACCTGCTTATATCTGTGAAGAGCACAGGGCACCAGTGGCAAATTTGCCAATCTTGGTGTTCTCTGGCAAATGCCAAACGTCCTGCACAGGGTTGGGCTGTAAGCACAACCCCCACTTGTGGGCGTCGGGCCCTCATGCCACCCTCATGGAGTCTGTTTCTGACCGTTTGAGCAGCCACATGCACATATGTGACCCGCTGGAGGTCATTTTGCAGGGCTCTGGCAGTGCTCCTCCTGTTCCTCCTTGCACAAAAGTGGATGTAGCGGACCTGATACTGGGTTGTTGCCCTCCTACGGCCTCCTCCATGTCTCCTGATGTATTGGCCTGTCTCCTGGTAGCGCCTCCATGTTCTGGACACTACGCTGACAGACACAGCAAACCTTCTTGCCACAGCTCGCATTGATGTGCCATCCTGGATGAGTTGCACTACCTGAGCCACTTGTGTGGGTTGTAGATTCCGTCTCATGCTACCACTAGAGTGAAAGTACCACCAGCATTCAAAAGTGACCAAACCATCAGCCAGAAAGCATAGGAACTGAGAAGTGGTCTGTGGTCACCACCCGCAGAACCACTCCTTTATTGGGGATGTCTTGCTAACTGTCTATGCTTTCCACCTGTTGTCTATTCCATTTGAACAGCATGTGAAATTGATTGTCAATCAGTCTTGCTACCTAAGTGGACAGTTTGATTGCACAGAAGTGTGATTGACTTGGAGTTACATCGTGTTGTTTAAGTGTTCCCTTTATTTTTTTGAGCCGTGTATATATATCACTTCCTCAAATATCTAAAATTAGAAACAGGTGTATCTGATTAGGTGCAAATAATTAGAACATTTAAAATTGCTCTCAGGATCATCTGATTTTTTTCTAAATATGTTTTATTTCATTTGGATTTTGTTTCATGTTTTATTTATAGATATGGGGAAAATGGGCAATGATCAACCATAGAGAAACAAGATCAGCATGACACATGCTAGAAGCATTACTTACACTCACAGTTCTTTGGACTTGACATCAGAAGCAACAAGAAGATAATTCCTTTCTTGGTCTCTTCATTAACATGCAGAAATTTCAGTGATTAAAAAGGATCAGTCATATATACAATAGAAAGGCACTCAAGGTCACAGACAGATCAAAGAATCTGACTTTATCTAAAGGCAGATAAAAATCAGGAATCCAGCTAAATATGCAGGAAAGATTTTTAAAAAACTATTTCTCAAACCATGTAAACCCAAACTAATCCTCAGCGATGGAACTCAGAAATTCTGGTATTCTCCTTGTTGTAGTGTACCAAACAACATAAAGATTTCTCAAGGTTCCATTTTAAAATATACTAAGGGCCTACTCCTGTACATTTAGGAATCTTAGATCTTATTGATTATGTGCCACCAAGTCATTGTCAATTCTTAGCAACCATATATAAAGATTTTCTTCATAACAATCTATCCCTAATCTGGTCTTGCAAGCCTGTCAACAGTACACCCATTACCATTGTAACTAAATGTATTGCCTTGCTACTAGTTATTATCTTCTTCGCTTTCCTTCTATTTATCTCATCATTAGAGTCTTCTTCAGAGAACTAGATCTTCAGTTCACCTTTATTAGAACCTCTCTCTCTGGCCAGGGGACTCATACAAAGCATACTATAATATTATAACCTTACTAAACTTGTCCTTCCAGAAATGTGGGTCTGGTTCCAACCAAATACCATGATATCTGTTCCAGTATCTCTACAAAACTGAGAAATAAAAAGGTCTTTGTTTGGTTAAAAATGATGCTAAATGGGTTCATTGATTCTCTTTGGAAATTCCATAATTAAAGTACAACCATCGAAAAATTTCTTTCCCTAGGAGAGACCTACCTCATCTCCCTTTTGGGGTTGGGGAAGCAGGAACAGGTCTGGTTGTCACAATAGATACATATGGGAAAATGCATTCCTTCAAATAGTAAAGCATGAGTTGAATAGTGATCAGTTCACTATTTTCTGTTTTAATTTCAATTAATGTAGACAAAGTAAAATCTCCTTTAAGTTGAGTGTAATCTTTGTGATTTTATGGAAAGATCAGGGTGTAGTTTTCTTGTCAATTATGGAGAAATTGTTTGTCACTGCCTTCTTCCGAAATTCATTTCTTCTTTACTTTCCAGTCTAGAGTAACCAGGTCCTATGAGTGATCCCTCTGTATTAAAAATTCTGCATGTGTGTCTTGGTTTTATTTTGGCAATTATTTCATCAAAATACTTAATATTTAAAGCATATTATCTTCCCTGAGAACATAACACTCTGGAATCTTAAATACATATCATTTTTCTTTAAATCAGTTTCTGAGGGGAAAAGTATATTTTTCTTTTACAGACAAAAACAATATCCAAAGATTCTATTGTTAGTTTAGCATGGTAAAAATGAGTAACTAACACATTTCCATGTCAAGGCTTGCACATTATTTATTTAATGGGATTTTCTGAACAGAGCAGGAAAGAAACATCTATTTAAGCCATCTGAACCATAAGCAAGAATTGTCCATTTCAGAGAGCTATACTAGCTTCAACAAGAATTCTTTTATATTCTGCCTAATCCTAATCTAACATGTATTTATAGTCATATCAAATGTTTAAAAAACATTCATGAGCAAACTAAAACACCATCTTCCTTTTCAATCCGTATAATTTCTCATGTCATTTCCATATTAACCTTATTTCCCTTCAGAAAGTGTTGTATACCTTAGAATCAAAGGAGGAAGCTATAATTTAAATAATCCCTTATTTCATGATCCTTCTTGGTCAGAGTTTTACAGGTACAGTTGCACCACCAAATACTAAAGTGTGAAGTTAGCATGAAGGGGGAAAAATGTGGTCAGTACTATGTCTTTCTTCTTCTCAAAGTGATATTCAATTATTACATATTTTTACACAGGATTTTCCTTAACTTGTCACAGCTCAAAGGCAGAATAGGTTTCGGCTATCAGGGCAGCATAGCTATGCCTGCATATTTTTCTGTCAAATCAAGAAATGGTGGATAGCACATTAATTCAGCTGTGAAGAATAAATCTCCAATGTTGAACCAGTTGAACAATATCAAAATATGTTATCTCATTGTTCATTGTTTTAGGATGAGTAACGTGTAATGGTACCATAAGTTTTGGTATGTACTGATGATGCTGAGTATTTATAATCCAGAGCAAATCACTGGAAGTATCTTCATTTCCAGCAGATCCTGAAAGGAGCAGGTAAGAAGAGGCATTGATGAATTGGAAGAGTGACATTGCTAAAGAATAGTGAGAGTTTCAAAAAAGCAAAATAGCCATCAGATGGGAGACTCTTGATTTTCTTCTTTTAGAAATAGCTTCAGCATATGAATCTAATCGTTCCCAGTAACATCAGTTCAAGAGGGAATATTTAAACAAAGGGGTAGAAAATTTCTTCCAGAAAGAGGACTATATTTTATCACCATTCTATCTTTGTGTAGTAACTGATGTTACTGGGAAGGATTAGATTCACATGTTGAAACTATTTCTAAAAGAAGAAAATCAAGGGTCTCCCATCTGTTGACTATTTTGGTTTTTTGGAACTCACACTATTCTTTAGCACTATCTTTGTGTACAAGAATGTATACTACATGTTTCTGAGTTTAAAAAAATTAAAGAAAGAAGAAATTGTATGAAAACTGAGGTAGGTTATAAAAGAAAAAGAATGTCATCTGAAAATATACCCCACTCTTCCAAAAGAAATTGATTATTGGTTCATTTTGACCACAAACTTAGACCTTCTACTAATTTTGTCAATATACAGCCAGTGTGTTTTGAAAATCCTGAAAAGAGTTGATTCAACAATTGAGTTATATATTTTGTGACAACATAGCCATTTAGTTAACAAGTTAGGGCAATTAGACAATATTCGCCTTATCCTGAGGCACCAAATGTTGATGACAAAAGTCCAAAGATCTGGATATGTTTATACTCGAAAGAACAAATGGGGTCCATGAAAGCAGTCATCAAATAACTGAAAAGTTATCACTTACAAGAAAATGGAACAAACTTGTTTGCCGTTGCTCCAGAGGATAGAACGTTGGTTGAAAAATGGTAAGAAAGTAGGCTTCAACTAAATCTTGGAAAGAACTTTTAATTATTGAGTGGTTCAATGGTAAGAGAGCCTCAAGAGTCAGGAGCTGTTTTTTGCTGGAGTCATTTAAGAAAAGGATGAATGACCATCAATCAGAGATAATGAAACTGCAAAAAGTAAAGCTGGAAGACACTGATCATTGGTGGTAACAACCCCCTGCCAGTCTTAAATCACTTCACTAAAATTAACAGTAAGGGATATATGAGATATATATATTGAGCTCCTGTGTGATATAATAGCTCTGGAGAAAGCCAGGTTGATCTGAAAGCAACAGCTTTCTCAAATTCTTATAGAAAGATATTGATTTACAGAACTCTTAGAGAAAAAATAGGATATAAATATAGGGGTCCTATGTCCTTCTTTTTATAAAGCTCTGTCCTTTATTACAGATAGCTGCCTTCAAATTTATTTCATTTAATTTATTTATTTTCTTAGTTTTGCTCTTGAATTTTCTTTTGTGAAGCAGTTATATACAGTTTTTTTTAATCCTTATGAACCTTTTCAGATTTGTCAATTTTTCAGGTTGTCCTTTATTTGTTCCAAGAAAATATGTTCTCTCTAGACATAAATCTAAAGAAAAATAAATCTAAGATTATTGTCCTTTTTTCCTATCGTGTTTCTGCTCTGGTTATCCAAATTGTATGTAAGAGACTAGTCCTTGTGTGTTGAAAAGATAGCTCCAAAATAAAAATAAAAAGATTCAAGATTTGCCATTCAGGTGGTCTGAAGCCTAGGTCCATGTAGGTTTCAAGCCATTTTGCAAACTTCACCATAATTTGTTCTGATTATGTAGGAGAAAGAAATGGCAGAGCCTGGAGAAGGGGTGAAAAGAAGTATCAGCCTAGAATCCCTATATACCCACAAACAACGTCCAGTCCACCCCAGCCTATTTGTGTGCCATTGTCCCTTATCTAACTCTAATCAGGTGCTGAACATTAGCTGAAAAGATTTATGTGCATAGGCTTTTAACGATTAATCAAATTAATTGAACTTTCAAATGTGGACCTGGTCTTCCGTACCTGACAAACTCTACTCGTTTTGGTAATATTGTACCCACTGCTGCCATGCAGATATCACCAGATTGTCTCTTAGAGACCCTGCCTTAATTTAGAAGCTGTAAAGAATGGACATTTCTAGATTTTAATACCTTTACTCTTTGTGTTACAGTTTACTAAACCAATATCAAAAGATTGAGAAACTGACTGGAACTGAACTACTTTGGAAGCCTTTCAGATCACAGCAGAAGACAACTATGACTTTTTCACCTATTGTACTTATTGTCTGGTTTCTTCATCTGACCAGATTGCAAGGTGAGAAAAGATGTTGGGGAGCAGGGATAGAATTCAAATTTTTTAACAATCGGTTCTGTGGGCATGGCTTAGTTGGTGGGCGTGGTTTGGTGGTCATGAGACCGGGTGGATGTGGCTTGGTGGTCATGTTATTGGCTGGGCGTGGCCAACTCAACATCACTCACATCGAGGCACGCATCTCCTTGCCTGGCCTCTCATGACTGTGGGGATGCTGCAACAGACATAAGTGTGAAAAATGGTTATACGTCACTTTTTTCTGTGCCATTGTAACTTTGAATGGTCACTCCACACAAGCAAAGTACCAGCAAAGGAGGGGAAAAAAGCTCCAGAGATGTTCCCGAGACAGGAAGTCTAGTCCAGCCAAGAATATATTAAGAGTTAATGGACTGGCAGTTTCTGTAAGCAACACCAGAATGTTTCCTCCCTGCCTTCCTTACAGGATTAGGCCAGTAATTTCTTCTAACAACCAGTTCTCTGAACTGCTTAGAATGTTAACAAACGGTTCTAGCAAACAGGTGCAAAATGGTAGAATCCCACCCCTGTTGGGGAGGTATTTAAGAATGTGTAAATCCTCCCCTTTTAATTCCCCATGGCTTTCAAAGGAAATAAAGATGGGTGTGAGATAAGTATTAAATACATGATGTGGTAGAAGTGCACAGAGAAAAATAACAAAGTCAAGTTGGTAACTGCAACTGTGCAATTGAAGCCACACCTTGATGTGTGTAAAAAAAGAAGAAGAAGAAGAGGAGTGGGCCTTTGACTATATTGCCATACCTGTAATCTTGACTATTTGATTCTCCAAACTCAGACACTCCTGCTCTTTTAACATACTTTTAATTCTTAAATATTTTAATGATCCTGATTTTAATTTAGGGACTTCATTTTAATTGTATTACTGTTATTATATCTTTATTCATGTTCTTTTATTGTTGTACATAAAAATGCATTATGAGCACTTCTACAAACAAAAGACCAGGATACAAATTTAATAATGCATAAAATAGTATAATTTCATTACAGCATTTCTTCCTAGAAATTCCTCTTTTACACATTCATCAAACCTAAGTTTGATTGGCATCAACTAAAATGACATAGCATATACTAGTAAACCATACCTAGGAAAGGTTACTATGTTGTGACAATATCTATTGTAAACAGAAATGTGGAAAAACAATTACTATTTTCCAGGGCGGGGGGGAGTTAGGAATGAAGATAGCTGGTTTTAGATTGAATTGTACTGGGAAAGAGAGAGCAATAAATATTTGGACAGTCTTTCCCATCAAACCAACAAAGTTACATTAAAAATGCACCACCTATTTCCATTCTCAATAAAATTTTATGAGACTAAATTAGGTAAAGGTTTCCTCTATCCAGTTGTGTCCAATTCTGGGGGTGGTGGTCATCTCCATTTCTTAGCCAAGGAAGACAGCATTGTTCAAAGATACTTCTGTGGCCATATGACCAGCATGACTCGCACGGAACACTGTTACCTTCCCAACTACTTGCATTTGCTTGCTTTCAAACTTCTAGTTGGACAGGAGCTAGGGAAAATAATGGGAGCTCAACTCGCCCTGTTGCATAGTTTTCGGGTCTCAAACTTGGGCTGACAAGCTCAATGTTCTTAACCAACGAGACACTAGTTATATGCTGCTAGATTTTTGATTGCTGTATATTCTCCTAGTTTAAGTTTCCAATCAGATATTTTCACAATTGTATCTTTCTTCCAATGTTGAACAAGATTTATTCTGATTACTATATCACTTTTAACCATTCAATATTCAATTGTGGAGATTTTAATTTTATTTATTAATTGTGTGTGTGTGTGTGTTGTGTATTTGTGTGAATATATAAATATATATATTTGTGTGTGTGTGATTTTTATAAATATATATATATGTGTGTGTGTATGTGTATGTGTATGTGTGTGTGTGTGTGTGTGTGTGTGTGTGTGTTGAATTCGGCTTTGTTTGGGTATTTTCCCATGTCATTGTAGTTGTGCTTTTAAATATATGTGTGTGTGTGTGTGTGTGTGTGTGTGTGTGTGTGTGTGTATATATATATATATATATATATATATATATATTCTTAAGTTTTTGCGGGTACTTACATGTATGGCATTCGGCTTTGCTCGGGTATTTTCCCACGTCATAGTAGTTGTGCTTTTAAAGTTGCAGTGACGTTTCAGCAGAATCTCATCTGCCATCATCAGGCTTCTGTAGGCTACAACTTTACTGTCACTACAACTTTAAAAGCATAACTACTATGACGTGGGAAAATACCCGAGCAAAGCCAAATGCGCTATATATATATATATATTCTGAGTTTTTCACAGGTATTTGTATGTGGATCTTTGGTTATTCGGGTTTTCTCCCGCGTAAAATTGGAAGCATCTAGGCGATGTTTCGATGAAGTCTCATTCATCTTCTTCAGGCTTGTGTCTTCGGCTTTGTGCTTCTAGGAATAATGTGAGCTTGTAGCTGCTTCTTCCTTTTAACTGCTAGTGGGGGTGTGACTTGATTGCGTGGGGGCTTGGCTGTGTTCTGATTGGCTGGGGGGGGTGTTCTCATTGGTTGGGGGTTTGGCTGTGTTCTGATTGGTAGGGGGGTTGGCTGTGTTCTGATTGGCTGGGGTGTGTTCTGTTCAGGTGGGGGCTTGGTTGTGCTCAGGTTAGTCTTAGTTGCCGGGGGATTTGAGCTGGTGAGCTGTGATCCTGTTGTTTGGCTTTGCGTTCGTGGTCGTGCCACATCTTCATGATGGGAGTCAGTTCGCTTCATGTATGGGTCGGAGGGGTTTGAAGCGGGTAGTGATGCAGCTGTGGTACAGCTTCTGGTCCGTGGTCATGTCTCATCTTCTGTGTGGGTGTGAGTCTGCTTTCTACGTGGAAGTGTGGTGGTAGCATTTTGTGTGGCCCTCGTGGGTGTGGGTCTGGTGTCATTCTTCATGTTAGATACACATTTGTTAATGAGGGCAGGTTTCCAAATGGCCAGTAGGTAGGAGGTATCATCTCGTTTATTCATGCTGTGTGGACGTTTTTCTATCTCTATGTCTTCTCTGATTATTTCACTTATAACACTTCAACAACAGAATAATCAGAGAAGCCATAGAGAAGCACAAAGCCGAAGACACAAGCCTGAAGATGATGAATGAGACTTCATCAAAATGTCACCTAGATGCTTCCAATTTTACACGGGAGAAAACCCAAATAACCAAATAACCAAAGATAGATAGATAGATAGATAGATAGATAGATAGATAGATAGATAGATAGACAGACAGATAGATAACATGTATGCGTGCGTGTGTGTGTGTATGTATATATATATGAATTTATTGATTCATTTATTTCAAAATTTAATTAAATAAATAAAGTAAATATCTGAGGGACTTGTGTGTGTATGTGTGTGTGAACAATTAACAATAAAATAAAAAAATTCAAAATATATCTCATTCTTCACTGTTTGGTACATTTGTGTGACATCACAATGCATATACAAAATGGGCAGTGTAGAGTGAGCAGCGGAATGACAGAGGCAACCCGGAGAGAACTTCAGCTTTTAAACTTTATTGAACAATAAAGGGTTGCCGCGACTACTGCGCTAACAGGGCAGCCAGCTGGCGGGCAACAGCTGATGCCATTTGACAGCTCCCTTTTATAGCCAGCTGTCAAATGGCATCAGCCAATTGGAGCAGTCCGCATTCCCACTGAAAGCATGGACCAGAGTGAAGACTTCAGCTCAGTCCTCTCAGAACGCAATAGGCAGGGCTTGTGTCACAAGACTACAGTGCTGCTTTGGTCATTCTGCTCTCCATTCCACTCCATTCCTCTATAGGGCCCTCCTCTTGTAACTGAGCACAGGCCTCGTTGAGTCTCTGAGAAGGAATAATGTATTGGAGGCATTATCTCCAATTACCACATTATTTCTTTCATGGTACAAAATAGAAGGATCATTTAGGTTCCTCTTCCCAACTCAGCCCTAAATCTATTGCAGTAAAAGAGTTAAATCTAGAATAGTCAAGGCCACTCCTTATGGGACAGTTTATGTTAATTATCCACAGCATTGGTCTGGGTGACTTTGTGCCCTTTATATAAATATGTAGATAATGTTTGTTTCTCTGTGTGCTTTAGCCTGCCCCTTGTCCCATTTTCCTAGTTAACGATTTTATTTTACTTTCGCTGATGTTTTAATAAACATTAAGCTATATTTTTACCAGCCAATCTGAATGGCAGATGTGCTTCCTTGTATAAAGAGGCAGAGAACAAGTGAGAGAGTACTGAAGGCAAACTGAACTGGAAATTTCCAACATGTGGAATTCCATATTTCACCATCTAACAAAATGTGAAATGCTATAAAGCCAAACCATCCAAGTCTCCCTTAACCCACTGATGAAAGCCATCAACAAACAGAAAACAATAATAGCTGTCTTCAAGTAAAAATAACAAAATGAGAAAACATACAGGTTGTATTGGGCTTATAGTTATCTAGGGACCATTTGAAGCTACATTGGCACTTTAAAAAGTGGCTTGCAACCAGTCCTCATGCTTACAACTGTTACCACATCCTCACAGTCAAATAATTAAAATTTACCCACTTGGCAACTAGCATGTATTTGTAACAGTTGGTGCATACTGGGGTCATGTGATCACCATTTGTGATCTTCCCAGAGAGATTCTGACAACCAATGTCAGTGGGGGAGTTGGATTTAGTTAATGATCCTGTGATCCACTTAATATCTGCGGTGATTCACTTTATAATCCTGGCAAGAAAGGTTGTAAAATTGGACATGACTCGCTTAATAACCCCCTTGTAAAACACAGAAATTCTGGTCCCAATTGTAGTTATAACTTGAGGAATACTTTATCAACTGTAGAGTATCAACAGTAGAGACCTTCAAATTTCTAGGTTCTATCATATCACAGGATCTAAAATGGACACCTCACATCAAAAATATCATCAAAAAAGCACAACAAAGAATGTTCTTTCTGCACCAACTCAGAAAGCTTCCAACCTGCCTTCCACTGAGGACCTGTATGCTTCATGAGTCAAAAAGAGGGATGTGAAAATATTTACAGACCCCTCACATCCCGACATAAACTGTTTCAACTCCTACCCTCAAAACAATGCTATGGAGCACTCACAGCAGAATAACTAGACACAAGAACAGTTTTTTCCTGAATACCATCACTCTGCTAAACAAATAATTCCCTCAACACTGCCAAACTATTTACTAAGTCTGCATTACTATTATTATTAATCCTCCCATCCTTCCTTTCACCCATCTTCTCCCATTTATGACTGTAACCTTGCTGCTTGCATCCTAATGATTTTATTGACTGTTTCCTAATATGATTTGATTGCTTGTTGTACCCTATGACTATTATTAAGTATTGTACCTTATGATTCTTGACTCTTGATGAACATATCTTTTCTTTTATGTACACTGAGACCATTTGCACCAAGACAAATTCCTTGGTGTCCAATCACACTTGGCCAATAAAGAATTCTATCTATCTATTTCTCTATCTGTCTGTCTGTCTGTCTGTCTGTCTGTCTGTCTGTCTGTCTGTCTGTCCGTCCGTCCGTCCGTCCGTCCATCCATCCATCCATCCATCCATCCATCCATCCATCCATCCATCTATCTATCTATCTATCTATCTATCTATCTATCTATCTATCTATCTAGTAACTGCAGGGTCAGCTCTTCCCCTGGTTTTGAAATACTTCTTGAAGTTAGAAGAAAAGATACCAAAATAGGAAGCATAAACTAGGTAGGACTAGAATCCATTTTAGCTTATTTGTCCTCATTAGCCAACCATCTTTCTTGAGATGGTAGGGATCCTGGGCTTCATCTCTGATCGATCTGCAATAACTTGTCAGATATACCAGTTTTACAATATACCAGAACTGATTGTAACTAGAATTTCTTATTATATTTTACCCCCTTTTTAAAATCCCTTGTTTGTTTGTTTTTAATTTTATTTGGAAAATTAAAGTTACTTGCCTTTTCTTTCTCCAACAGGTGCTGCTGACTGGGAAGTAGGTAGGAATTTCTATGTACTCTAGAAACTTTCCACATAAATTGGCACTGAATGGTGAAAAGAAAACCCACTTGCCTTTTACAAAATCTTAGATATGTTGCTTCTGGCACAATATAATCTTCAGAACCATTGCTGCAACTCCAGTTGCATTTTGTCACTTTCTTATTTCTAGCAACTTAGACAAAAAATGTTATAAATAAGATATAATATGAAATAACAAGTAGGCTAGCTAAGTCGTTCAACATCAAGGCGCTAGTGAAGCAGGCATGGCAGCACTTGCCTTTTCTAGATCATATGAGAAGAGCACATCTTCTGTTCCCTCTCCTTGCCACTTTCTACAAAGGGACAATTAGAAGCATCCTCTCATGTTGTATTAATATTTGATTTGGAAGTATTACTGTATTGGATAGTAAGGTAGTGTAGAGATTGGTAAGGACAGCAGAAAAAATTATTGGAAGTTCAGTACCTTCTATGGTGTGTGTGTGTGTCTGTGTGTGTGTGTGTGCATATCCTTTTGAGAGTGGGCATCAGAATTTCATTTTTAATATGTACATAGAAAAAGTAATAACAAAGGTTATCTTATAATATCTTATAATGCTTTATTCCTTGATAAATAAGTCATTATTTGACCATGGTTGAGTTATCCTCTTCCATGTTAAAAAAAGAAACCAGGCTTTTTTCTTGAGTCTGGATCAAAATCAACATATGAATGAAGCCTACTGCTGATCTAAAAACAGAAGTGAATCACATACTGAGTTGACAAGTTATATAGCATATTTAATAGGCATTTTAAATATGAACTTGTTTCTCAGGAGACACAAAATCATTGGAAACTTTCTTCTGAAAGTCAACATATAAATTCATTCAAAAAAAGAGAAACTTTGTTTCTTGCAGGGTATCAGATATTGAGCTTCAGACGTATGGGGGGAAAGTCCCCTTTGTTCTTATTATAAGCCAAAATCTAAAACTTTTTTTTTTTTTACTTTTCAAGTCAAGGTTGACTCTGAGCAACTGCCTGGCTTAGGTCCCTGTAATGTTTAGGCAATATTTTGAAAGTGGTTGAAAGACAATAACTTGCCAAGTTAATCTAGTAGCTTCATGTCTAAGATGCAACTAGAACTCATATCTCCCAGTTTCTAGCCTGGTGCCTTAACCATTACATCAAACTCCTTCCCCCTCTCATTCTGTCTCTCCCTCATCTTTACTATTCTGTTCTTCCTTGGCAGGTTGTAAGAAGTCACTAATCTCCACAAGAATTGTTGGAGGCCAACCAGCCTCTGAGGGATCATGGCCCTGGCAAGCGGGCTTTTCACTACTCAACGTAACTTTTTGTGGTGGCACTCTCATAAACGAGAATTGGGTGCTGACGGCTGCTCATTGCTTCATTTGGTAAGTTACTGGACTTACGAGAAAAATAGACAGAGGACTATTATTATGAGGCTGTTCTTTTTAATAAACTAGACTTTCCAGGAAATAGTTTTGCCCCATTTTGAGTTTTCTTGCCACATTTGTTAGGTGAATCACTGCAGTAGTTAAGTTAGTAACACAATTGTTAAATAAATCTGGCTTCCTATTGACATTGCAAAAGGGATCACAGGACTCCAGGACCCTGAAACATCATAAGTGTGAGTCACTTGTCAAGCATCCAAATGTAAATCACATGACTATAGGAATGCTGCAACAGTCATAAGTATGAAAAAATAGGTCCTAAGTCACTTTTTTTCCATACCATTGTATGGTATGGAAACAGTCACTAAGCAAACTGTTTATAAGTAGAGGACTACCTGTATACAAAAAGGACACAACAACGCTTTTTCTTTTTGACCAAAAATTCAGATCCTGCTTCAGTTATATATTAATAAAAGATTGCATTATTCTGCAGAGTTTCAATGGAAGGTACTTTTCTTTTTGCATATCAATCGATGTACATTGTGGATACTGTATGTGGAAAATCAGAGCTGGATTCAGATTAAGGCCAAACAGGCACTGGTTTGTGGGTGCCAATGCCAATTTTTTCAAATCATTCCAAAAATGCATAAATCCACAATGGCAAGAAGTGAAGCCATCAGTCTGTCAGCTTTGAAATTCAGCTGCCACAGTCAATGTGGCCTAGGGACACCATGTACTCCAGCACCGATGGAAATAGTATACAAATGAATACCAGTAAATATTGCTCTTTCCTGCCAAATTCCAACAAGACTATTGGCATCTTTAAATGTGGCAGAGCTGGATATGAGGAAACATGTTGAAATTAAATGCAGACAAAATCTGGTGCCTCTGGCAATGCATACTTTAGGAATTTTTTTCAGCAAATGTCAAAATCCTGTAGTACTCTTAATAGGTCCGCATCCATAAATCACTGTTAACATTTTTTTTAATTGTTAATACTTACAGGATCCCTGAAGACATTAAAGGAATTTTTGTGGGTCTAGGTGACCACCAACTCACGAACCCTTCAAATAACTCAGAGAAATTTGCCATCCGACAGATTATTCCTCATCCTAACTACACAGGAAATGACAATATGTTTGACATTGCTTTGGTGGAGCTAAACAGCACTGTGAAGTTCACCAAATATATCTTGCCTATGTGTCTCCCAGAGTCTTCTGTAAAGTTCCCTGACAATACCAGCTGCTGGGTCACTGGATGGGGAAGTACAACATCTAGGGGTGAGTCAGAAATATATAACAAAGAGTTGAAATATTTGATTGTAAATGTTTTAACTGCAGCTAGGATTGTATTTGCGAAGAATTGGAAAAACGATAAAATACCCATGCAGGAGGAAGTTATTAAGAAAATTATGCACTGTGCTGAAATGAGTAAATTGGCATTTGAAATTAGAGAGCAAGAAGATAAACAATTTTATATGATATGGGATTGTTTTTATCAATGGTTGGATAAAAAGACATGTTAATGTAATAGAGTAGATAATTCTGTGATAGAAATTTAATAGACTGATATAAAACATAATATAGATATATATATATAAAACCATTGATTGAAAGTATAACATAAATTTTAAGATAACATTTGGAATATCTCATATAAAATGATGGAATAAATAGTTTAGCCATGGATGATCAATAACTGATAAATATATAAGCATATTTTAGTTTGACAATGTGAAAATTGATATAAATTATAAGTAATGACCACAAAAGGATAGCACAAAAGATTAGTAACTAACTGGCACACTGTATGTATACAAAATGGAAGATGGTTTTATGTTTTATATGTGTATGTTTGTTTTAAAATAAAAAATAAAAACTTTTTTTTAAAAATCTAAGGGTAAGTGAGGAAAATGGGATGTGTGTTTGATCTGATACTTTTCCATCCTTTCACATCTTTAATGTATGTGATTTGGTATGTTTAAAGATTCATTTATTTGCTTGTTACACCAAAGTAACTTAAAGTTATTTTAAGGACTAATGGGATACTGTTTAATCCAGAAAGATGCTGGAGAACAGTGGTGCAATTCAAAAAAATTTACTACTGGTTCTGTGGGCATGGCTTGGTGGGCATGGTATAGCTTGGTGGTTGAGGCTTGGTGGGCATGGCTTGGTGGGCATGGCAAGGGAAGGATACCGTAAAATCTCCATTCCCTCCCCACTCCTGGAGGAAGGCTACTGCAAAATCTCATTCTGTTTCCATCCCACTAACCTGCTTTCCAGCTCTCTTCTCCTGTGCAGGGCAACAAAAGAAGACTCAGCCGATCAGCTGGAACTTGGAAGGCAGAGAATAGATGGGGGCAGGGCTAGTCAGAGGTGGTATTTTCCAGTTCTCTGAACTACTCAAAATATCCTCTACTGGTTCTCCAGAACCGGTCAGAACCTGCTGAATACCATTTCTGCAGGAGAATATTCAGATATGAACCTGAGAGGACAAGACCATTATTCTGCATTGACACTGAGGCCAAACTAGAGTTTTGCATAAAACTCTGCATAAAGTTAAACAATAGAGTTATAAATCAGAAGGAATCTGAAAAGACCCTTTTAACATAGTCAATGTTATTAAATGGCACAAGCTTTCATTAGAAGCATGGAATAGCTGAAAATGATGTAGGGTTTAATTTGGGATGAGACCAGGTTAGGAGCAGGGATGAAGAAGCAAAGCAGAGTATCGTGTGGGTTTTAAAATCACTTTGGCTTACTCTTCTTTTTATAAAGGTTCTTTTTAAAGTTCAAGAATCAGCAGCAAGCTTAGGATAGTGACAGTAGCTATTGCCATTAAAATCCATAATAGCACCAGCAAAGCTTAATCTGAGTCAGGTCCCAAACATCAAATGGAGCCCTTATTTCCAATGGCAGAAAATGGCACTAAAATATTTGAAAGGTTGTTTTGATCCCAACAAGATAAATTGAATCACAAAGCAAAATTGCAAAAGAAATCTGGGATATGATTGGAAGCAACAAATCATATTAAGTGATTTGCAGTTGTTTTTTTAAATCCTTCCAGAAGTCTAAACTGAATCAGTTTGCTCCCAAACTTTAATTTCTAAATTTGAACTAGATCACACCAAATTTCAAATCTTCAGTTTTAATTAATTCAGGCTTCTTCACAGAGGCCTGATTACCTTAAAGAGGTTTGGATTTCAAATCAAATCAGAATCGAAGCAAACTGCAAATCTGAATCCGGTCCCAAACTAGAATTGAATCATTGACTAGAACTGAATTTTCTCTGATTTTATACATTCACCAGTAGCTACAAAACAACATGGAGCAAGTAAAAATGTAATGCCTTTGGGTTCTGAATTGGCATTCTTTTCATCCTAAAGAACTATGCATAATATGTCAGAAGGGGTGGGATGGACAGCCACAAAGCAGCTTAAACCATACAGTGGTTAGGCTGGTTTGAAGGAGGAGTGTCAGGTATAGATTATTTTAGGGACTACCCTTTATATTTCATATGTTCTCCAGCTCAAAATAGTTATGTTGGTTTCATTCAACCAGAAAGCTTGAGAGCAGATATCATCACAAGACTGCATCTTACTCATCCCTTAGTCAAAATCCTAGCACATCAACTAAGAACTGACAGTTGTGATCTCACATTGTTCTATATGTAACTATGTGTAAAACATAGTGGTTGGACAGGTTTAGTCTTCCTTGTCTCATCATAATTTACTTTCAACAGACAACTAATGTGCCTATGTGACATAGGTATGTTTCTTTCCTGTCCTGTCCTGTTATGTTTTGGGAGACAAGAGAGGTAAAAATCTATAGGAAACAACCATTAGATCTGCCACCTTCAGTTGGCACCTTGCTGGCATCCTGCCATCAAAGGATAGGAGGGAGGAGCAGGTCACGGGAGGGGGAACAAATGGGCATTCAATCTGCATGTATATGTGATGGGAAATTGAGAGGGGGGAATGACAGCTTGTCAAAGAGCAGGAGAGCTCAGAACCAATTTTTGCCAATGCTCAAGCCGGTTCACCCTGAGAAAGAATGTGAATTACCCTAAACATCTCAGTGTTCTCAAAACACCTAGGTAGACTCTTATTGGATGAAGATAGACAGGTCATGGGGAGAGAACTGGGATGTGGGGAAACTTTCTGTATCTTTTGAATACAGGAAATTTAGCCCTAGCCTGACTTTTCTGCAGCCAGCATCTTTTAATAAAAGAACCTTTCATTTCAACCAAATGGAGTTGAGGATCTGTCTTTCCTAAGGGATTGAACTGGGGCAGTCTGCCACAACACTAATTTTACTTCCCTAAAAACATCAATCTGGCTAGCGAGTCTGTCTTCTGGCAAATCGCAACAAGAAAAACTAAATTGAAGTTGAGGAATGTTAAAGATTTGGCACGAAAGTTACAGTGAACATAAACTCAGTTACTTTTTCTCTGCACTTTATAATTTAACCCTTTCCCTTCTTTGCAGTAAGCCTGAACCCTCTCCAAACCCTTCAAGAAGTGGAATTGTTTATCATCAATACAGATATATGCAACTCAGCCTACAACCTGCTCAATATTTCAATATTGCCCCATTCCCCTGTCATGCCCAGTATGATCTGTGCAGGTAGCTTTAATGGGGGCAAAGATTCCTGTCAGGTATGGTGCTCAAAAACTTAACTAAGTTTCTATGTTACAAGACAGTTAAAATTGTAGTGATTGTATTTGTGTAATGTATTAAACTGGACTAGTTTTAATCATGATTGGATAGTGGGGTTGCTAAGGTCCTGATGAGGTATATGACATTAACCCTTAATATTAGTTTATGGTTCCATGTATTGAGCAATGAATATTAATTAATTAATTAATCAAATTAAGTTTATTGTACCAACCCTGTCATTGTTGACATGGAAAATTTATGAAACCTGCTCATAAAGGATGCAAAGTTCTCCCAGAGCCTCCTTCACTCAGGGAAGTATGCATTCAGTGCTCTTCAAACTCCCAAGATAGGTGTGGGCAATCATCAGCAAGAGGCCTTATAGAGTGTCCAGAAAAGCTCCTCCAGATTCGGCTCTGAAATTTGATGGAAAGCTTCATGGGGATTTTCAATCAGTGAAGTGATTGCTGCTGAATTATGCTGACTAAAACAAAAAACAGAGGAAGTAAGCCTCTGACAAACTTAATGAAACCACTACACAAAACTTGAAAACTATTTAAAAATTAGGCCAGACGTTTTCTGATCTGCCATCTCCAGTACTTATAAAGAACATGGGCCAAAATAACATATCCAATAGCCCTGCATAAGACCAAATTTGCTCAGCCATATGCTAAGGGATCAAACCTTTAAAATTCATTACTGGCTCAACTTGTTGTTGCCTAAACATTTTGGACATGAATTCCTATGAATTCATATTCCTATGAATATAAATCCCTAATCAGATTCATACTCCAGAATGTCCCAAAGTTGGGAGACTGATTTCAAATTGCTGCACATATTTACCATTTAGAAGCAGTAAAATGCATCCTTCACATTTTTAATTAAAATATTGGTTCTTCAGATTATATTTAATCAATTTCTGTGGAAGAGGATGTGATCAAAAATGACAATTACAAGTAGACAGTAGTAAAGTGATGGGTATCAATAGTAGTTTCCCCCATTTCCCAAATGGCATTATGATACCATTGATTGGTCTCATAACATAGCAAAGGAAGTATTATTATCTTGCATGGATGTGCTTATGTTTTGCAGGACAGTTAACATCCTGCTGTTTATTAACAGTGTTAAATATGGTTTGCTTCTGAGGGGAAGGAGGTTGTTAGACTTAGTATACAGTGCAAATCCAGACCCACTTTACTGAATTATCAATCAGCCCCCAAACTGTGATAAATATGTTTGGTGAACAGGCAATTACTAAAGATTCTCAGGCTAAAGTTGAGGTATTTAGTTAAAAGAATACTTTGCTGTGAGGAAATCTGCATTTCAATTTCTCAAAATTGGAATGAAGGAGCCTTCCTATAAACATGTGATAACATACATCTTTTTCTTTCCAGGGTGATTCTGGAGGACCTATGGTTTGCAAATGTGATGAAAGTGACAATTGGCTCTTGGCTGGGATTGTGAGCTGGGGGGCAGGTTGCGGCATGGCTGGTGTGCCTGGTGTCTACACTTCAGTAGCATACTATGCTGATTGGATCCAGCTTCACATACCCCACATAAAATTTTCAGAGTGCACACATGAAAGTAATAGTGTCAGGCACAGTACCCCTGCTTTTAATGAAGGGCACAATACCCCTGCTTTTAATGAAGGGCACAGTACCCCTGCTTTTAATGAAGGGCACAATACCCCTGCTTTTAATGAAGGGCACAGTACCCCTGCTTTTAATGAAGGGCACAGTACCTCTGCTTTTAATGTAGGGCACAGTACCCCTGCTTTTAATGTAGGGCACAATACTGTGCTTTTTCTGATATCTGTGAAATTGATCTTCTTCTGAGATACTTAGACATTCCTCCTTCAGCTTATCTATGTTCCCCAGATGAAATCTTTTTTACACAAATTGCTGCTGGTGCAGCTCTACATAGAAATCTATACATTCTCCAAACTGGAGGAAGTTCAGCATTGAAGTTTTAATTAGTTTTAAATCAATAACAAAATGATTTAAGTCATGTGGCTCACCACCAGAATTAAGGTAATGCTGACCATGCTTCAGGCTTTGGTTGGGAATCACGATAAGAATTGCACATTATCAAATCCACAGGTAGCTTCAGAGGAGCTTTCCAAAATCTTTAAAGGCCTCCTGTCAGTGCTAAACTGGCTCTTTCCTTTCCAGCTGTGATTACTGACTATTATACTACTTTTCCTCCTCCTAATATCATGTAGCATGTTGTTGCTCTTCTTTCCCCACAAGAGTTTCCACTCTCCCCACCAAAATGTATTTCCAACATCACTTAACCTGCCAACAAAGAGAACAAAAATTCTGGATTGCCAGACAAGCTTGATTCAAGGAACATACTGTTTACAAATCATCTCTGAGATCACTATGAAAAGACATGTATCTTTAAAACAGTGAAGAGGCTGCAATGTCCACCTGAAGGGTGGACTGTTTTCTCCATGTTTTGTTTTCTTTGGCACTCAACTATGTGCTGGGTTCCAATATAAACCTTGTATGGCAACACTGGCTAACAGGTGGCCCTCTTATCAATATAAATTCATAAAAGCAGAGAATGTTTCTAGTTCCTGTCCTGATTTTGGACATCATCTCGAGGTCTGATTGGCTGCAAGAGTGAGAACCTTTCACTAACTGGATCACCCAACTTGGCATTCATTGGAAGATTTATGAAGTCTCCAGAAAGATGCTTCCTAGCTGTTGAATAGACCAAAGTTCAGAATTGTTCCTTGAACTACAACTAAAGTCTTAGTTTTAGAAGTAAAAATCTTCTATTACTAAGTGAAGTTTTCAAGAAAGGAGTGACTGTGCTAGAGTTACTGCTATCAGAAGCCACTGGATTTAAATGGAATCATCTTACTGTAAAATTTGTAATACATTATTTTCTTTAATTATTGTACTTAATCCCCATCCCTTTCTTTCTCTCCTTTAACTTATTTTAATAGGTGATTTTGTTTGTTGCTGTATTATTACTAGATATTTTTCTTTATATATTATTTTATGTTGCTCCTGGAACAAAGTATATCTATCATTGTAAAATTTTACCCTGATGAATCCTAATAAAAGCAATGTTTACTATTTGTAAACCCCTTGAGAGATTTAATTCAAATGATTAAAAGGTCTAGGGCCAGACCAATGGTGGGATTTTTAAAAAATTACTACCGGTTCTGTGGACGTGGCTTGGTGAGCATGGCAGGGAAAGGTTATTGTAAAATCCCATTCCCTCCCCACTCCAGGGGAAAGATATTGAAAAATCTCGATTCCCTCCCCACCCCACTAACCTGCTTTCCAGCTCCGTTCTCCTGTGCAGGGCAACAAAAGAAGATCCAGCCAATCAGCTGAAACTTGGGAGGCAGAGAATAGATGGGGGTGGGGCCAGTCAGAGGTGGTATTTGCCAGTTGTCCAAACTACTCAAAATTTCTGCTACCAATTCTCCAGAACTTGTCAGAACCTGCTGAATACCACCTCTGGGCCAGACCAATTAATACATTCAGTATGTAAGATACATTATAATGAGCAGCTTTTTAAAATTCCCATCAATATTTTGGAGGTGGAAACTACAATAATTATTCTGTTCCTGGTTACATCCATTGCTATTTGTTTGGTTTTTGCAAAAACAGAGCACTATAATTTCATTGCTATTTATAATTTCATGGTCTAATGTTCACATTTTTCTATGACTGTGCAATCACACATGGTATTGACTAAATATCTAAAATTGTTAAAATTTATTAGAAATTATTAAACTCACAAGACACCCAAACATACTCAGAATTTTTTAGGTTTGAACATGCACCTATTTTTATTGGAAGTGTAGTTGGAATTTTATTGTTATTGATTTTTTAGTATCATTTGCATGAATACCTTATTTAAGGAAATTATTCATTGTTCCTTGATATTTAGAAGCAGAGTGTAAATTCTTGCTTTTCTTATTTATTGGTGAATTACAAAGAAGCAGATCACCCAGGAAAAGGAAATCGGTTATTAGCTTTGGCTGAAGTCTTGTGATATTTATTTTATCATAATGGTTGCTGAATTAAGCAAAAGCTTCTCTTAGATAAGGTATTTAATATAATAACATAAAATAATAAGAGTTGGAAGGGACCTTGGAGGTCTTCTAGTCCAATTCTTCCTTGAGCAGGAGACCTTGTACCATTTCAGAGAAATGGCTGTCCAGTCTCTTCTTCAAAGCCTGCAGTAATGGAGCACCCAAAACTCTGGAAAGCAAGCCATTCCAGTGATTAATTGTTCTCATTGTTAGGCAGTTCTAGGTTTTTTTTTTCTTTGATTAGTTTCCCATCCATTGTTTCTTGTCTTGCCTTCTGATGCTTTGGAAAATAGATTGACACCCTCTTTTTGTGGCAAATTTTGGAACATTACTATCATCTCATTCCTAGTCTTGGGTCTAAACAGATCCAAATCCTGCAATTGTTCTTCATATGTTTTAGTCTCCAGCACCCTAATCATTGTTGTTGTTCTTCTCTGCACTTTTTCCAGAGTCTCAATATCTATTTTATATTGTGGTTTCCCATGGTGGCCAACTAGGTACCATTTCCCCAAAAATAAGACCTATCCCAAAAATAAGACCTAGCTTTCCTGCATGTGCTCCTAATATAATCCCTACTCCCCAAATAAGCCCTACTTAAAAGCCTCTGCACCCAGCCAGCCACCCATTCTGTCTGGTTGCTTGCAGTGGCGTGGTGGGGTGGTGGTGGAGCTGCCCCATGTGCCCTGCACCAGTTTACTTCAGGGCCCCGCATCCAGGCCATCCAGGCCCTGACACCTGCCTTGTGGTGGCAGCACCGGCAGCCATAGCCACTGGCCCACTTCTGCTTGCTCATGGCCATAATGGAGCAGGAGGCTGAGTGGTGTGCTGGTGCAATGGCCACAAGGCAAGGCAGGTTTGGAGTATGGATGGCCTGGCTCCAGGGGCTCTGAAGTAAGCTGGTGCAGGGCACATGGGGCAGCTCTCCCTGCCTCACCTCAAGGCCGCACCACTGGCACGTCACTTGGCCTCCTCCATTGCAAGTGCAAGCAAGCAGAAGTGGGCCTCCCATACATGAAAAAATAAGTCCCCCCTGAAAATAAGCCCTAGCGCTCATTAGGGTAAGCAGGAGATAGAAAATATGCACAAATGAGTAGATATTCATATTGTATTGGAAATGTTTCATAGTCTTTTTATAAAAAACCCTCCAAATAAAGGAAACTATTTCCCAAGGATTATTTTTATCTTATTTGTTTCCTTAAATTGCAGCCAATCAGACTGGGAACAGAATTTGTTGGGTAGTTGTGTGGCATGGTTACAGAGACAGAGACCATAATAGAAAGCCATATCTTGTGGGTTCCATCAATTGACAATGTTTCAGGCACGGGACTTGAAGTATGTTTTACTAAACATTTAGGATGTTTTTGGGTTAGCAGTCTGAAAGACTTCCTCTCTCTCCTTAATGAAATCAATGAAATAATCTTCATATCAATAAGCAAGTCTTCAAAATTCTGATCTAAGAGACTAAAATAAGCCCAAATTCTTTGAAGCTACCTGCAAAGTAATACAGATGAAGAGTAAATTTCTACAGTATATTATCTTTCAGTTACATTATTGCTTTACTTACTTATTTTTTATTTTAATTTTGGGTCAAAATATCCACATAGTATGTTTTTATATATTTATTCACTTGCTTCATCATTCTTTGTTTCCTGGACAACTTACACATAGCAACAATGCATCACATTACAGACAAGCAATAGTGGCTGAATCTGGAAACGGATTGTTTGGTAACTTGCAATTTTTAGTTGAAAGCTTTTTTAAAAAAGTTTGATTTAATGATAATGACTGTGGAAAATATTCAGATGCATGTAGCTATGAATTGGGATTCACAAAAGGAATGTGATTTGAAAGTTGCAGGCGCTTAGAACTAATTGAGTTGATTGCATATGCCTCCCTGAAGTTCAAGTCTGCATTCTTTTATAACAGCAGAAGCTTAATTAAGTAGTGAAGTGATAAACTGGTTTTCCTAGGAATATTGAATAAAATTGCAAAATGGATTTATCACAAATGGTTTTAATCAAAAAATATTTTCATCTGGACTTTGTTCGGAAGATAGACCAATTGTGGATATTGCATTGATTATGTTTAAACAATTGATTACAAGTTTGTTAACAGAAGGTTTTGAAACGTAACCCTTGCTTTATTATTATTGTTGTTGTTGTTATTATTCACAAAAAATGACAGTGTACACAGCAAATGAGATAACTATGCTGGGTTTTGTATCACAAATCACTAGTCAAACACTTCCCAAGCATTTAGGACTGTGTGATGTATCAGCGAATTATGCAAGCAGATCCCAGAAAGGTGGCCTTCTGCAGCTGACCAATAGTGATTTTGTCAGCACCAATTGATTTTAAATGCTTGCCTAGGTCTTTAGGCATAGCACCCAGTATGCCGAGTACTACTGGAACCACCTGCACTGGTTTTTTATTATTATTATTATTATTGTTGTTATCGTTGTTGTTGTTGTTGTTGTTTCTGTAAATTATTTGCATCTTTCAGTTCCTCCATCAGATTAAGAAGAGGATATGTCTGTTTTATGAGAAGCCAAAGCCCTCAAAACCGAGGATTTATTTATTTTATTTAACTCTTTTCTTGTGAAGAAGAATGTGTTCTAATTACATTCCCATTATTCTCTTAAAAACCCAGTTCTTGAAACCATCAGGTGCTCTGTGACAGATAAAGAAGAATTATGGGAGGTGGGGTTTTTGCTTTCATTTTTCAAGTGCCTTTAGTTACTCTGCTGTTTCTTCCAAATTATCTAAGAAAGCAATGGCA